CAAAAAAAAAAAAAAAAAAAAGTGTAAGGATTGTTACAGCAGAAGCTGTACAAAGACCCGTGACATCTCTCAATTTAGAGGTGTCCTCTTGGCCCTCTAGCAGGGCAGGCTAGAAGTGCTGCCCTAGGGAACAGCCCTTGGCCAAGGACAGATGAGGTTTAGAGGAAAATTCCCTAGTGTCCTTGACTGTCAGATAGGCTGAGTCTGAAGTGTGTTACATCATCCTGATCCCCAGAATCCCCCAGTGGGATTAAGCCCCAGTTGGCCACAGCAGTAATCATCTACAAAGTACAGCCTTTCCTGGCTTCAAGTGTCTCCTGTCTTAGCTTCCCACTCCCTACTGGTGCCTCCTGGCATCACCTCCCAAATAAACTATTGGCATTCAGATTCTTATCTTTGGGGAAATCTAGCCTAAGAATACAGTCAAATGCTTTTTCTGTGACTATCAAGAGTATGCGATTTTCTTCTTTACTTTGTCAATCCAGTGTCTGACTTTAATGGTTTTTATTCCTAGATAGAACCATTCTTTTATTTCTGGATAAACCTTTCTCAGTCATGATGTTTTTATTAGCCTCTGGTTTCATCTTGCTCGTATTCCGCACCCCCCCATCTATTTCCTAAGTGAAATTAGTCTACAATTTTCTTTTACTATTCCTACCTAATTGTAGTAAAGCTCATCTCATAAAAATGAGTATATTTCCTTTTTTTCTATCTTCTTAAAGTATTTATATAAAGGGAGAGATTATTTGTAAAACCACATAACCTGATGTCTTTCAGTGGGGGCAGACTTTAGATTTTTGATTCATTTCTTTATTGGTTATTAGCTTATTTAGGCTTTTTATTTCTTATTGAAATTATGTGTCTTTTATATATCATATCTCATATATTTATATATCATTTGTTTATATCATTTATATTTTCTTCTACATGATTACCCATTTCACATAAATTAAAATGTATTCACATAAAATTGCTTAAAATACTGTGATATCAAAATCTCCACTGTACCTAATATTCTGTCACTTTTTTCATTTTCATTTTCTTGGGGAATATTTTTCTTTCTGCAACTCTTTTTTTAATCTTTTTGACCAGCCTTGTCTGTTAGTTATCTCAGAGACATAGCTTTGGTTTTGTTGACCCTCTCTGATTTCTTACAACTGTACTTAAGTATAATTTACATATCATAAGATTCAGCCATTTCAAGTATACAATTCAGCGATTTTTAGTAAACTTGCCAAGTTATTATATCATCACCATAATCCAGTTTTAGAACATTTTCATCACCCCAATAAGACTCCTCATGTCCATTTCAGCCTAGTCCTTGGCAACCATTAATCTGCTTTCTGTCCCTATGGATTTGCCTTTTCTAGACATTTCATACAAATGGAATCATATAACGTGTGCTCTTTCGTGTCTGGCTTCTTTCACTTACAACATTTTTGAGTGAAGCTCTCCATTTTTGTTTCTCATTTCATTTTTTCTGGAGCTATCGCAGAGCCAGTCTCACAGAGTCGTGTGTGGCTTGGCCCGGCTTGGGGATGAACTGGGACTGGGACTCCCAGTCCCAGCCCCTCTAGACTGACCTGTGGTCAGAACCCCCACCTCCCAGTGGGAAAGCCTCCCCCATTGTCCCCTCACCCCCTTCACAATGTTGGTCAAATGGACTGAAACTAATGAAAGACCGGCCTTCCAGCTTGTTCTGGGAGGTTTAAACTTGGGCTTACTTGGTGAGACCCCAGTCTTGTGCTGCATTTCCTCCTTTTAGTGATAAAGACCCTCTACGATTGCAACCACTCATTAGGTTGTGGGGACATTTCAAAGTGCTTGGCAACCTTTACTCAGGGCATCCTTTGTGCAGACCACCACCAGTACCCTAGGCTTTCCAAATTTAGAACTATACTTGGTGTTTGCATGCTGCTCAGGAAGCGGTGAAAACACCTCAACATGGACCTTCTCCGCAGGGACGTCGTCTATTGGAGTGTGACATTCCCCGAGACTCAATTTGCTTATGTGGGAGAGTTACCATAATAAGCTTTACAGGTTGCCCACCTGCCCACCCCTCAGCACTCGCTGTTTGGAACCTACTTAGATTTAGGTACAAGTGTTAACTGTCCTAGAGACAGTTAACAGTGGCAGGTGGAAAACGGACAGGATCGAGGATGATGGTGGTCAAAGAAAACTTCAATTCTATGTATAATGAGCTTATTTTTAAAAATTGGAAAATTAAGAATAAGGAAGTCTTTTTACCTAATATGCAGATATATCTGAAGATCCATCGGGAAGCATGTGATAAGTAAGTCCCCAAGGAGCGCTCTCTCTTAGCCCTGTAATCCTGGCCGGTTGGTGGATCTCGGTGGGGCAGAGCCCCTGGGAAGCAGGAAGCGAGCCGGGGAGCCTGGGTTTTCAGGCACTGACCGCCGCCGCAAGGGCGCAGCATTTCCCGCGCTAGGAGGCAGCACCACACCGAGCAATCCGCACCGATTCCGCCAGCAGGATGTGCAGCCCGGGGCTAGTGCCCTCGCCCGCCGGGCGCCCCCACCTGAAAAGTGGGCGCGAGCACAGCAGCCGCGCGGGGCCGTTACGGGGCGGATTCAATGATTAATGCCGGTTCGCCTTTTTGGTCTTTGGATAGCAATCAGTGGGCGCTCGCGAATAACCAGTCTGCTTCCCCTTTCGCTCCCGCAGAAATTTTGGGAGCCACGAGACACGGTGGGCCTCCCAGACCCGGTATGGTCCCGCCGAAGGGTCCCCTAAGCTCGCCAAAGCCTAGTCCGTGGCTCGCGGGCGTGCGGCGCGCGGGGGACTACAGTTTCCAGAGTGCCCTGCGGCGACGGGCGGAGCCGGGGAGCGCCCGCAGCCAATTAGGGGGTCTCCGGGCGCTGCCGGGGAGCGGCA